AGCTCATTGTTCTAGATTGCATCAGTGATGGATAAACACTTGTCCAGTGCTGGCTTGGAGGCAAAGATATGCCAACTGAGTATGCGTGTGTTGTTAAACAGACCCAAACCTCACCAAAAGCACACTTATTTCAAGAGGAAAGTGATTTTTCAGTGATTTGAGTGTGCTTCAGATTAATCCCTGAGATGCTTTCCTTATTTAAAATGATAATGGGAAATATTAAGGATAGGGATGTAAAGGGGCATTGAAGGCCAGGACAGAATCTTTTGAAGGGTTAATTTTTTTTATGGCCACTAGTAGAACTACAGCACTTCTTAAATAAAGATACAGAAACAAATGTTTCATCCCTTATGTGGGCATGTCTACACTGGCTTTTACTACAAGAATATGGCCTGTATATTTAGAAAATAATGTAAATAATGTTACAGGAGCAATCTTAACAAACTTAAGTTTGTTTCCAGAGCACATTTATTTGAAAGTCCCTTAGTGTAGTAACCTGTTAATGGTATTTCCTAAATTAAAAAGCCATTGTGAATAGCCTCTCATTCTTCTGCTCCAAAAATAAGCACAAAATAAGCCAGCAGCTTTGCAGTCGGAAAGCCTAGGAATGTAATTCTGAAGTAGCTCCAGCTGTGAAATCTAGGAAATCAGCCAGGCTGGTTTCAGCTCCCCTTAAACTAGGAGCTTCCACCTACCAATAAAAGGAATGGGCACTTTGTTTATCTTTCCACAGGGTACTGATATACATCTTAAATGTGTCTAATTTAATCAGTCAGTCAGCTGTCAAGATGAGTCCCCTAGTAGTAGCATTGAAACAGTGATAACCCACCAGCAGATAATGAAGTTCTTTGAACGATTCTGAGTGACACTTGAATACAAACATCTGACAGAAATTTTCAAATGAGATAATACCTTCGAACAGGTGGCTGGTACATCTCTGCAGTTCAGAAAGCGGTAGTGCCTGCTATTCACCAGGCACTGAAGAGGAAATTGCTCTCCCACAATGTATTTTTTCAGTCATAGTTCATAACGGTAGTGCAAACCTTGGTGATTACTTCTGAGAGATTACTTTTTTGCTTGGATTTGGAGGGTGTTGGTTTCTTTTTGCCTCTTACTTTAGGGGTTATGGTAGGAAAGACTTCAGTCATAAGATAGTTATTTCTTGCTAGATCTGGACAATGTGTCATTGGATTCAAAAGCTAAATTAGAAATGAGAAAAAAAAAAACAGCTTAAGTGAAATAGGTTTTCTCACATTTTTCTTTAAAAAAAATCTGTCTTAATGTAAAGAATTTTCTTTACAGTTATTTTGTCCTCTAAAATTTTTTTAAATGAGGACTTATTTTCCAAGGAAAAACTGAATGTTTTTAGTTGAACTTTCCAAAATTAGCTCTGACTACTGTTGTTTATATGTATAGACACGCACATATATATACACCCTTAAAGCTATTTTACAGATTCTCTGATAATAATAATTTCTCTGAAAATGTTGATGAGAATTTAGTATTTACATAAAGTGCTTCTCTATCTTTTTTTCTTATAATGCCATTTGCTTACTCATCTAGCATAACTGCAGATACATCTTGCAGTGGGCATCTGATTCCTCTTTTCTGTCTAGAGAAAGCTTGGAAATGGCATGTTTTCTTGATAGTTCCTTCCATCATACTAAAAAATTTTCCTGGTACATAACAGATCTAAATTATTTTGTTTCTGTTTTGTTATGTATAGTATATATCTAAATTGTACCTTCTGTTTTTATCTCCACCTTTCATTTTTGTGTTATTTTCCACAATTATTGCTCACATAACTCAGCCTTACTTATTAAAGAAGCTAACTGAATTTTTGAACCTGAATTCACTTCATACTTCTCTCCTGCTTTTGTGATATTATTAGTCGATGGTTAGTTGGTTTGGTTTTTTTCAATATGCTAAGTCTAGGAAATGTTAAGGGGTTCCTGTACTGACAGAATTTCAAAATACTGCCTTATTTATTTGAAATTGTAAGTAACTCAAGGAAACAATTTACTAATCTGTGAGATTGTACTTCTTCCTTTTTCACTTTCTGATGTGCTAGTTCAGTTTAAAAACTAAGCAGTTATAAAGTTTCTAGTTTGCTTTCAAGGTACGTTGGTTTGGCTTCAAATTATAATCTAAACAATCTCTGCATACATGTGTCTGTTTTTCAGACGGACTGCGAAATATGAAGGTTAAAATTAAGATACTTTGTAAGGAGAGCCTGTCAAAGTGTATGAGGTTATCTTATAACCCAAAAATACGTTTTTAAGTGCCTTTTTAGGTGTACATAAGCATATATGTCTTCTGGGTAGGCGTTTTAACAGAACGAGTTCCTCGTCATGCCATGAAACAACATAGATGTTCTTTATTCTTTTTTAAATGCGTGTAACTGTGTGAGCAGGACTTATTTCAAATAATTCTCATAGCTTTCTTGATTATTATTAAAATAAGAGATTTTACAGAAACACTTTGGGTTTTGTATAAAAACTGCTTGGCCAAACAGAAACTAATGCTTCTGAATAAGAAATTGTGCTGTGAAGTCCAGAATTAAAGATATTGTTTATCCTCCCACTGTGTGACTGACTTCCACTTTTAAAAAGATACAACTTCAAAATGAGGCTTTTCTTATGACTGATACATTCATCAGGTTTTCCTCCTGTGTGACTTGTGCAGGATTCTCCAGTGGCTTGTAAGGAGCGATCTCTTACCTTTCCATTGACTGATCTTACCAGGTCTTACTCTTCCTCCTCTCTCTGGCTGCCTGTTTTTACAAAACTTGTTGGAACATAATTATTGTTGGAAAGTCTTAGCCAGTGTCAAATCTGGTTGAACCAGCTGGCCATTTTTCAAAAGTCTTCGCAGAGTAGGAGATACTCAGAAACATGCAGGCAATGTGACAGCATGTGCTTTGTTGCTTTGGAAATTGGTGAAATAGACAATAGTCATGAACTTTATTTGCTAAATTCCTGTAAATTCAATTAAACCATGTCATCAGTACTCTGGTTATCAAGCCAAAAAATGCACTGAGGGATTTTTCTGCTCGAAAAGCATTCAGTGGGTTGGCTCTTATTAAGACCCCCTGCCTCCTTGTCACGCTAACATTTGCTTACTATGCTTGAGAAACCTGGTATGTTCTCAAACCAGTGTTCAGAGAATTCTACAACGGCATCATTTCTTCACATTCCCTGCTGCTTTTTTTTTTTTTTCTTTTTCATGAGTTTGCCAGTGTGGCAAGTGGCTCTGAGAGTTTGGATGCCTCAGGAATGTGGTTTGTAAGGTGAGGAAAATCACAAAATCACAAGCGTTTTCTAGTCAAGCTTTTTTTTTTTTTTTTTTTTTTTTTAAAGCAGCTGTGAAATTCAACTGCTGCTATTTTACCTTAATGGTGTAGGAGGCTCTGTAGACTCAGGACTCAAGAGATTCTTCTAGCGTTTTCTCCAATGTGCTTTGGAGCTGTGAGGTAAAGTAATGTTAGCTTGCAGAAATCATTACTAATGTGCTGGCAGGCCAGTAGTGCTCAATGCAGGTTTCAGTGCTGTTCCATCAACCTTCATTTACCGTTTGTGGTTCTGTGGCCAGAATATTAGTCAGGGCATTAATTCACAGGATTTCTGAGAAACAACACGCTGGGTGGGCTGTAGGAGGAAGACAGAACTAGTTACTAACTGGATTTACCATTCTGCAGACAACCCTGCCCCTAAAGGGCCCAGCTCTTAGTCAGCAAGTGGCAAATGAAGTACTGATTCATGAAAATTAATACATTAGATAGGCACTGATGTATATTATTGAACAGAATTGCCTCTCCTTGGAGCTTAGCACAACAGACAGTTTGGGAATTGGAGAGGTCAGCTCTGCTATGAGGCAGAAATGACAACCATGAAAGCTGACAACTTGAGTGTTGAGTACTGACACTTAGCTCATAGCGTCAGTACTCAGAAATCACCATAATAGCTTTCTAACTGAAGTCTGCTTGCAACAAAGTATTTTCTTAATGTACTTGCAAATTTTAAAAATAAAACTCTTATTAGGGCCTGTACTATAATGGCGCATTTTTTCTTTTTTTCTTTCAGACCTATCAAATATTCCATTCTTTAGTAAGCACGGTTATGCTTACTGAAGAAAGGCTTTTTCTTCATAATTTGGCTCATGTGACAGCTGAAAACAAAGGAATGGGAGAATGGGGAAGGCTCAGAGGTGACAATAGCAGGAAAAACCAAGAATAAACCATCCAGATTGCTGTTTGACATTTCGGCTCCATTTCAACTTGAGGAAGAAGAAGCAAAACACAGAACAGGCAGTAACTTACCCCAAACACTGGGACTGCAGTTTTAGAAATGAAATGAAATATTGAACATATATATCATCATATACAATAGCAAAGACAAATACACTGATGTTTCAGGCTTTCTCTGTGGTGCTGTTGGCACGCAGCAGAGTAATTACCAAGTTATCCAGCACAATTTGAATGGAACTGAGTGAAACTTAATTAGCTCCTGTCTTTCAAGCGTTTCTTCATCCACAACACTTGTAATCTTTGGGGTCCTGCTGTGCAACTGTAATGTTCTACAGAAAATGCAAGCTGCTAGGGGAATCCCATTCCAAAATCTGTTCTAGTTTACCATCACATACTGTAATTCTTGTACTAGTGGTGGTCTGTTTTTTGCTCTTTGCTTTCTTCCGGGAACTCATTACATCCTTACTTTACATGGTATTGTATAGCAGCCTAGCTGGCCTGTCCCCTTAACTGGAAATGCCCTTCTTGGATCTGATCATATTTTATACCCTGAGTTTCTTTCTTGCAGATTTCATTCTGTAGCTGTCTGCAGTCACTGCTGCACTGCCTTCACCAAATCACTTGTTTTTCTCATCTGCTCTGAATTCCTTTTTTTGCTCCTCCTGTCATTGACCAGGTGGTATTGACCCTTAGATGTCATTTTGGACTTTGTGTTTTATTTTTGTGAAGAAGAGATACAAAGTAATAGGTTTAAAACTAATTTATTATTTTAGTTTTGTATTTCACATAATTGATCTCCTAAAACTGCAAATTATTTTCTTACATCAAGTGACAGACATTGCAAAACTGTCATTCAGGCTTTTAGAATGTGCTCTCATTCAAATTCAGAATTACTGTTCAACTTACACTGACTATGATTAAAACACTTCCATATCATGCTAATTATGACAGAAAAATATTTTCTTTCAAAAACAGTTTTAAAAATCCACAAGAAATACTGGCAAAATTCTGAATGCTCACTTAATCCTTATATTCCCATTTGTTTTGCAAACATATAAAATAAACACTTGTTCTGCTTAAAACTGCTGATGGAACTCACATTACAGAGATTAAATGCATATTTGGTGGGTCTGCAGTTTAAATCACGTGATAAAACTACAATGAGGATAAAGCAGACAGTTTTTAAGAGTAAGAGTTCGGAGAACCGAGTTTTACAATGACTGCTGAAGACAAGGTTTTGTCTCAGACAGGCTTCTTCAGCTCCAGGACAGGAGTAGTCACAAGAACATTCGTCCATTCAGAAGGGTATCATCACTCTCTAATGACCACTGGATTCATTTTCCGTCTATATACCTTTGGAATCAAAGTGAATGCTGAAACAAACCTCACCTCAGTGCAGTTTGAGCAATTGAGTTTACAGGATTTTCTTTTTTCTTGGAAACCATTTCCTTTTTGTCTGTTTTCATTGGGTTCATGAATTCATGTACCACAACACGTTCCTTTTCCACAAGATTTTGAGCAGCCAAGGTCCTTCCTGACTATGCTCCATTGACAAAATACTCAGTGCACACCACTTGCTTATTTACCATTGTTTTACCTCCGCAGACTGAATCTCTAGGGTGCTCTTCCTGGGTTTCACTGCAGTTTTAGCTATGGTGAAATCCCAAGCTACTTCACCTTCCCGCATTTCTTGCTCAAATTCCAGATGTACTTATCTTGAATTCATCTAATCTTGTTAGTCATTGTTTCTGTAACTAGTTCTAGTATTATTTCCTTCATATCAGTTCACCTAGAGTACAGTTTGGTCTTTCCTCACTAGAAACCAGTCCATCCTGATAATTTTGTCCCTTCTAGCTAGCATGGTTTAGCCTAAATAACCTATATATCTTATCCTGTGTAGAATAAGACTTCCCTCCCCCTCTCCCCCCTAATAAAGATATCTTTGGTGCACTTAAGTTTATGTTTATGCTCTGTAATCCCACCTTCCTGAAGCACAGAGGAATCCAAAACAGGAGAGTACGTTCCTGCTGCAGCCTCACTTAAGCACCTTGTGCAAATGCCTCTCACTTTCCTTTCAGCAGGTTGGAGCTGAGCTCTGTTATTACGTTGTTCCTGAGCTCTGCCTTTGTTTTCCTTTGAACTGCCTCCTACGTGCTGGCAGGCTCCCGAAACAGTTCACAGAATGGTCTTTGCCCAGTGTTCAAACTGCAGAACAACCCTGTATTTACTTTGTTTTGTGTAAGGAGGTTTCCTTTGTGTTCTCTTACAGCTCTGTGCACTGGAAATGGTGCAGAAGCCTTGCAGCTTCAGCCCAGCCTGGGAGCACCAGGAAAAACTGTCTCAGGAGATGTGGGAGGGAGGTCACTGCTACTTTGTTCTAGGTAAGAACTACATATTCTCAACATGTGAAACATTTGTTGCTCTTGGATTGAAACTATTTATTGTAGAACGTTACTTCAAGCAGTGCTTCAGGGTGTACCTTAGGCTGCTAGAGGCAGGTCTTGGTGAACGCCGCTGTCCCAGCAACATTTGAAAACGTGGAAGAAAGTCTCAAGAATTCCATACCCCCTTTGTTTTAGAAAAATGAAGCGCTAGAAAAAGCCAGTGTGGATGTCTGTAAGAATGTCTGAATTTCACCACTGGTCTGGTAACTACCAGATGAAATGCACTTTGGCTCTTCTCAAGTTTTTGTTACTCTGGAAACTCAGTTATTTGAATTTGGAATGAGAAACCTCAAATTTTGGAAATTCCCACAGGGCAAAAATACAGAATCTGCTTGCATTTCTTCTTCTTAATACTTAGTGGCAGTTCCTGATTCCAGGCATTCTGTTGGTTTCTTTGGGCGCGTTCTTGATCGTTGTGTGCGATTTGTACATACGCTACGTGGAAGCAGCTTCTGGCCAGTAACCCGAGCCGCGCACCCCGCGAGATGGCTCGCAGCCCGTGCCGTAATTTGGACTAACGCGGTTGGACACGCGCAGTCCCGCTGGCAGAGGCGCTCCGTGGCTCCCGGCGGCCCCGCAGAGCCGCGCCCGACACGCCGCTGCCCGCCGGGCTCTCGCTCGGCACCGGCGGGGAGAATTTCTGCCCGGCGCCACGTGCTCGTTAGGGGGCTTTCTGCTAAAACAGCGCGGATTTGAAGAAGGAGGGAGAGAAGTCTGTGGATGCGGCGCTCCCTTTACTTCCGGCCGTCCGCGCCGGGACGCCCTCAGCCGGGAGCGGCGTCAACACCGCGGCCGCTGCGCGGGGCTTTGAAAATCCCGCGCGGCCCTTCCCCGGGGGCGGCCCGGACGGCGCCTCGGCCGCGTTCTTCGGTGAGGGTGCGGCGGGCCGGGCCCGGGCCGCTCCCCGCCGCCCCTCGCCTCGACGCCTTCGCGGCCCCGGGCCGCCCCGCCCCGCGCTAACGGCCGCCGGTCCCACCGACATGGTATCACCCGCAGCCCGCGCGGCGTGGTACGTCCCGGCGCTGCCCTCGGCCCCCCCAGCCCCTCTCTTCCCTCGCGCGGAGAGGAACGAGGGCGCGCCCGCCGCTCCCTCTCTTTGTGTGCGAGCGGAGCGAGGCGGCGCGCGGGCGGGCCGAGGCGCGGAGCCGAGCCGAGGAGGGCGTTGAGCGGCGTGAGAGGCGGCGCGGGGCGGGCGGGCGGTTTGGAGCGGGGCCGCGGGGGCGGGCGGAAGGCGGCGTGGGGAGCGCGAGGCGGCGGGTAATGATGGCGCGGCGCGCGCGGCCGCCGGGCGGCCGGGAGCGCTGAGGGGAAGGAGCCCGCGGGACCCCCGCCCCCAGGTAGGCCGGCTCGGAAAGTTTGGGGCGAGGTGCCGGGGCGGCCCCCGAGGTGCGGAGGCGCTGGCGCGGCGGGGGGAGCTCCGACCCGCCGCCGAAACTCGCGGCTCCCTCGCTTCCGGGCGGCCCGCGGGCGCCCGGGTCCCTCCGCCTCGCCTCGCCTCGGCCCGGCCTCCTCGGGCGGCAGGAAGGGCCGGCGGCCTCACCCCCCTCCCCGCGCTGCGGCCCCACCGCCCCGCGGCCCGGGCAGCCGGCGCCGGGCGGAGGGATGCCGGGCGGGGGACGGCCGCCGCCCCGCGGAGCCCTCGGGGCCGATGCCCGGGAGGGCGGCCGCCGCCAGCCGTGGCCGCGCGTCCCGGCGGACACAATGGGCTTTATCCGGGCTCGCGCCACTCTCCCTCCCGGGAACGCGAGTTCGGGATTCGTGTCACACGCTGGCGAGGTCCCGAGTTAATTAAAACTCTGCGTCCCCTTGCAGATGGCTTTCTGGATACTGTGATCCGCAGCGGAGATAACATCCGATGTGGCCGTACACGCGCTGTGATTTCTTTCTCTCCGTTTATGCACCGGCGCAGCCCGTCTGAGCGTGAGCGTGGAGGCCGGCTGAGGGGGAAAAGGCAGCTCTTCTGCGGGGTCTGCTCTGCACGGCGTTGGAGGGTGGCAGCTTGGTGCCTGTGAATTTTCCTTTCTGCTCCACGGGAGCTGAGGGAGTGCTCTCTGACAATGATGAAAACTGAGGGCAAAGGGGAAAGGACTTTAAGAAGTGCTTCTCCACACCGAAATGCCTACAAGTCTGATTTCCACGCTATCAAATGCTCTTTTGATGGAGTGAACAGTCCCGAAAGCGTTTCCAATAAAACGGGCTTGCAGCAGAAGCTGAGCACCTCTTCCAATGGAGGGGGAAATGACCCGCATAGTCGAGGTAGAGCTGCCACTTATGGCAATAGAGTTCACAAGATCAAAAGTATGTTTCTGCAAATGGGAGGCTCTGCTTCCACACCCTCTTGTGAAAGTAGTCCACCTGCTGAGACCAAATTAATCAGCCGGGCCACAGCAGCAGAACATGGGCCTTCTCCAGGTAGCACATCTTTCCTCATTATCCAAAAGAACAATCTTCTTAATACAAATACTGGCCCCAGCAGCAGTCCTGTGGATTCGTCGTCTGTGCCTTCTACTGCTGATAAGATCATTCGTAGCAACGATGAGGCAGACTTGGACAAAGTTGCCCTGGCAGAAAAATTTTCGGAGACCAGGAAGCTGTTTGAGAGAAATATAAAACAACGAAGCTCTGTGGACAGATATTCTCCCAGCAAATGTGAAAGAAGTGAAGATAAGAGGAGGCATGGTTCAGCTTCAGATTGTAGCAGTGTGGCAGACCACTTCAATTTTAATACAGATGCGAGTCCTTCAGTCGCACTGGATAAGGTTGAAAATCAAGGTAGTGAGCTGAAGCAACAGCATCCCAGTAATGGTTCCAAAACCTCCTTCTTGAATGCTGGGCCCATTTCTAGGAGGCTGGAAAGCTTTCTAGGTGACAGTGATACTGAAGATTCCAAAGAAATTTCCAAAAACGATGACCTGAATCAGGGCCCTTTGAGAAGCCACTGCAGTTTGGATTCATCTACTACTGCTGAAAGAAGTCCAGAGAAGATTGCATCCACCAAAGTGCCTGTGATAGACAGAGGTGGGCTGAGTGAAGTATTTGAAAAAGACAAGAGAGAGAAAGCGGTACTGGAGAGAAGCCTACAGGATATGAGCAGTGTATCCAGTCAGGAGGCAAAGTGGAGAACAGAGACTATTCTTTCCCAGGTTTCCCCTGTTGAGGAGACTTGTGTGGAGCTGTCTGTGCAAGATGAAACCTCAGGGCATGGAAAAGAGGCTTTGGATAAAGGTCATGTTGTTAATGAGGATCAACCACTCAAGTATCAAATACAAGAAGGGAAAAGGAGCAGTTATTCCTTGGATGTAGTAGAAGAATTTACAGAAAGAAATGGAACCAATCAGGAAGAAGTGAGAGATGGGATGTCTGCGAAAGATGGTCCAGTTCAGGATGTTCTGCAGCAAGAAGGGGATACTGAAGAAGAGGAGCAAGAAGGAGAAAAGCAGAGGGACGGCTTCTGTGCTTTTGGAATTGAAAATGCAGCTTTTGATGATTATAGGGATACAGAGAACCAAGACCCTGAAGACAACGAAATTTTGGAGGAAGAGGAGGAATATATGTATGACAGTGAGTACGAGGAGTTTCCTGGACTTTCTGAAGAGGAAGATCCTGCGCCAGACCGAAAAGTCAAGTTCTCAACAGCTCCTATCAAGGTACATACATTTGAATTTTCTTTGTAGATTTGTTTTGTTTTTCTGTTTTGCAATCCAAAATACCCAGGAAATATATTTTGGAAGTGTTTCATGTTTTGTTTTGTTTTCAAACCTGTAAAAGTCCTTTCGATAGTGTAACTATGTGGCTTTTATTCTAAACTGCTTGGTTTTCTGAAAAAGAGAGAAGTGAAAGTTGTCACAAGTGATTTTTAAATCACAGCAGCTTCATGAGGTAGCATAGTAAAGCACATGAGATTTCACTTGTTTAATGGATATCTTCAGGAACACTACCTTTTAGAAACAAATTCAGACACATGGCCCTTGGTGCTTGATTTCATTTGTTTAAAATTGTGGTGTTGCACTGGAAAGGACTGTTTCAGTTTTACTTTTTGTACAGAATTTTTTAAAATAATCTCCAGATACAATTTCAAATATTTTTTGACTTTGGCGTGGAAAAATATCAAATTACTTGTTCCTATTATTTAAGATTATAGACTTTTTGCAGTGTACCTATATATAGAATATTTATTAAAATACAAGTAATGTCTATAATATTTATATTGGCAGGGTGAATGTTCTCTAGGAGTATTAGTGTGATGAACATTTTCGAGTCACTAAGTTGTGGAAGTCAGAGTTAATAATATAATGACTTAATAATGAGAAGCACTGCAAGTGAGAGAGCTAACAAATTGAGAAGATGTAGGGTTCTGTTCTTCAGTCACCAAAAACACCCACAGAATGAATGAAGTCATTCCGTAGTGCAAATCCTATGTACCTGTAGTCTTGTTGCTGACTGTGGTTATTCTCATCCCATCTGAAATTTGAGAGGACTGGGAGATGAGGAACAAGATGGAGTGGGAAGCTGTCCTGGCTTTCTCAACTGTATTTTTTCATTCATGTAATAGTAGAAGAAAAAATATCATCTTCAATAAAGCAGTTTTTGTGCCTTCTTTGTACTGATGAGAATGATGTAAAAACTCTGACTCCTGGACTTCTTGCAGCATGAAGCTCTCAGTTTGATCAAGATAGACCAGAAGATGTTTGTGTATGGCAAAATCCAGGTTTTGTTACTTGTGGTTTCTTATAGTCCTTCTGTAGGCAGGATGGCTTTACATGACTTTCTTGTGCCTGATGCATCTCAGTGGTGACCTGGAGCTCTGATGAGGCGGGAGGGGGGCAGTGTTGCTTCTGGGAGCTGCATAAGGAATGGGGTGAAGGCTGCTGGAAAGCCAGAGGGCACCAATCCATTCTCTGTGTGTTTCTGTGCATCAGTGTCTGAGAGGAGTGCAGCAAGTCATCTGCTAGAAGTGCTCTTTGGTTTGCTGGGGCATGCTGTCCTGCTGTAGGCTGGGTCTGTTGTTGCTGAATTCCTACAGAAGCAGTGATTGTAACAGGCTTTTCCTGCATTCTGTTATGTCAGTGTCAGGTTTAGTTCAAAGCTCAAATTGATAGGAATCTCTGCCAGCTGTGATGGGAGCTCTCCTGTAGACACATCTCAGGTTTTGGTAACCAGTGCCTTTTGACTGTAGCTGCTTCTCTGAAAGCCTTCAGAGCCAGCCTCTGCCAGGTTATCAATTGCACAGTCAAAGATGGATTTAGTAGCAACTGTTAGTATTTTTGTGTTAAGATAACATGGTTACTGCCATAATACCTGACTTTGGGATTGACAAAATAAATGGTACTTAATAGCAGTAGGAGCAGTGAAATTTCTCTTCAGATCTCTTTTAGTACAATAGGTTTCTTGTTTGGCTTTATGGATAGATTTTAATGCATCTTAAGTTGAAAAAGAAAAATCCCAAGTGGTAAAAAATTTTTAAAAAAAGATGATTCCTGGCCCCCAGCCACAGCTCTGAGCAGTGCCATAGTGAGAACTGTATCCAGCTAACTTCCTTCAGCTTTATTTAGACAAGTAGGCATGACTGAAATGTGAGTGTCATTCCAGCCTTCTGCGGCCCTGGAAGAGAAGGCTGGTTTCTCCCCTTCCTAGACCCTTCTGCATGGGGCCAGGCTGGAGTTGGCTTTTTGGCTGTTTTCCTTCTGTGCTGTGGTCTGGCCCATCCTGCTACTCTTCCCAGTGTAGCTGTGTAGCAGCTACAAAGCGGCCAGCTCTGTTTTACAGCTGCTGTGCAGCAGGCGTTTGAGGTGGAAAATTCAAAACATTCAGAAGATGTTTGGGAAAGAAAAAGTGTGTTTTAAAATGGTCGAGTCTCTGTAATGATGGATCTGTGACCATTGCATTGGATAATCTCAATGCAAACGTGGGATATGGTGTAGGTAATGGAGAGAGCTTGAGTAATGTCTGTATTGAGAAGTTTCTTCTCAGCTGTGAAATTGACAGGGCTTTTGAGTGTAAGAAAGAGACGGGAGCTCCCAGGGGATGTGGAATGAAGCTAATACTGTGAGCCCTGTGTCTGACCCGTGCTGGAGCTCTGCAATTGTTGACAGCTGTAGCGGGGCTTAAGAACATGTAATTTTGAACTGATAATTTTGGGAACGATGGAACACTTACATAAATACTGTGTTATTTGGACTCGCTCTGTGCCTGTGAAAATGAGTGGAGATGAGACTTTTAAAATAAAAGCTTCAGTTCTGTAGAAGCTGATGATAAATGTTGGGGAAGGTTTCTTACTTGCCATAGGTGACACGAGTGCTGATGTGTGATCTCTGCAGCCCTTAAGGAGCACTGTGGCTCGGTGGTTTGTTTTTCCTGCAGTTGTGAAGAGAGTGATGCTGTGCAGTTACTAGCAGAACTACGCTGCCACATTGGGTTTGTGTTGTGCTACGTGGGCTATTTTTAACCCCTTGTTGGCACATCTGAAGGCAATAAGGAATGTAAAGTACACTCAACTGTCCAGGTATCCACAAGGGTACTGTATTCATCCTAAAGTTTTCTGAATAAAAACCATACAAGTGATCAGCAATACGAACAGTGCAAATAATGTCAGGTAACTGTGCTGTCATCCCTTTATACTTTAGTATGCTTTTGTAATGTAGAGATTAAACTCGCTCTCAATTACGTGATCACCTTGAAAGGCTTTAATTAACACAGATATAACGACAGAGTACAGTTTGACATTTGTAATCCTGAAACTTTCTGTTGGTAAAACAAATACTCATTTCCAAATTGGCTTCTTCAGCTGTCTTTACCTCTGACTGTATCAAACTTTGTCCTCAAAACCTTGAATAGCACTATGACTAAGGTCTGTAATGATTTATGATCCTTAGAAGTTCTGTAGCTCTGATAACCCAAAAAGATAATACAGCTATTATTCACTTCCGTAGGTCTGTTTGATTTGCAGCATTAACCAGTTTAAGTTGCATGATGGTGTTTGTCCCCAGCTCTGTGAATAATACTTTATTTCAAGATTAATTGAAGAACATGTCTTAAAGTAAATTAAAAACAAAACCAAACTTCATAAAGGCTTTTATATTTTGCTACGGTTGAGCAAAATTTTTTTTTTTTCTTTCTTATGTGAAGAAATTAAAAGCAGTCTCATACTTTGTGTGGTTCTAACCAGTCAAGTATCAGCTGCTCTGGAGGGAATCTGCAAATCCTTCATAATATTGCCATTTGTCTCACACATCAAAATAGAGATGTTCTGTGTTTAGCTGGGATACAAATAGTAGTCTTGTTCAGCCTGGCACACAGTTCGATCTTTTTACTACAGAACTGCTTACTGTGGAAGTTAATGAACCAGTAAATGAAGATAGGCTTGAGCTGGATTTAATGTGTAACGGCCTATCTATAAATGCTACCATTTTTAGGAGGTGTACAATTTTTCTAAATCATTTTGTGCTCTCCCGATCACTGTTTTAACAAAATGTTGTGGAGTAGTGCTTCAACATCATACATCTCTCGGTTTTTGAACTGTAACTTCTACGCTTCTGGATTTTATTTGCAGAAAAGAATGCAAAATCCATTAACTGGTGAAAAATGCCCAGACCCTGGATAGTCTTCAGTTGTCATTGTAATTAGAGAATAATTGATGACTGCATGAATGGTCAGCTGTTTGTCAGCCACTGAAGCGCTTCCGTAAGATGCTTGTGTGGCATTAAGAGATTGGTATATTACATGGCAGTAGGTTGATTTAGGAAAATAGAAATTGAACTTGAGAGTAGATGAACAGAATTGTCTGGCATGTGGGAGGTCATCTACTTTTTCTTGGAGGCGGCAGTGTATTCCCATCAGGCTTTGTTAAAGATCTTTTTAATGATGAAACAATTTACAGATTTTAAGTGCTTTGAAGCTTTGTTTATCGCTTGCATCGGTGTTCCAGCACTTACATCTGAACAATCTTGCCCTATGACTTTACTTTGTATTTTTATCTCAAACTTACTGTACTCTCCACAGTAATGTTCAATCAATTTCCTCAAAAAATACCCCTGGCTTTGAGTATGGTTTGGTTGTGTTTTGCTTGCATCTGGGAGTGCTGCATTTCTCTCTGACAAACTTAGCAGTATAAGAGGTTAAAAAACCAAAAGCATGGGTATAAGCTGGAGGAAGAAGTTGCCTGTGAAAACATAGTGAGTTTTTTTATTCATTGTTTTGGTTTTGTTGGTTTTTGGGGGGCAGGTTTTGTTAATTTTTTGAAAGGTAACTTTTAAACTTTTATTGAAACTTCAGTTGTCTTGGAAGTCAGAAAATATTTCTGAAGCATAAATGCATTCAATTCTATATATAGATTCATCTGGTTTAAGAGAATTCTACATCCAGTATTTCTTATGCATTTGTGGTCCTTATTGAGACCTTTTGTTTCTATGACATTTCAGCTTTTCACAAAGAAGTATGCCTTTCTTTGGCTTTTTTTTTTTTTTTTTTTTAATCAAAAGTGTTCTTCTATTTAGATTTCAGGAAATACTTGATATGTGTTTTACAATGGTGGATTTGGCATTTCAGGAGTCTTTGGAAGAGAGGCTGGTGCCAAGGTATGGGACTGTATATAAAAATCCAAATCTGAGCAGAAAAAGGAAATAAATTCTTTTTCTATCCTGCCTCATTC